ATTCCTGCACTGAAAAATGGTGGTAGGAGCACTTTAACTAAAGCTCCTTCAATGAGCTTCAGTTAAAGCGTCCCCCGCCACCATTTTTCAGCACGGGACACTGATACAAGCGACGCTAGAATGCAGTAACTACCATATTCCATCAGACTCGATTAATCAAAGCTGCTCCAACATGCTGTAATTACAGTGCACTGGAGCAGCACGCTGCAACTGTATAGGCGCCCAAAGTGCTAACTTTACTACAACAATTTTTAAGAGTTACATATATTTCTCCTACTAAACAACTTTTAAAAATGAGAAACTTAAGTTATTCATTTTTTTGGAATCTTTATAAAATATAGCCAACTACAATTAAGAAAAAAATGTTAACATAAAAATACCTTGCTGCCAGAACGAGACTTTAATCCATTCATATCACTAACTGCGGCAGTCTTACTTCTGTAAAGAACAAGGTAAATCATAAAGATGTAATTAGGACTCAGATTGTGATAAAAAATACCTCCAAAATATACACAAAAAATAATCCTAACCTTCATGCTAAATTAGAGTTATTCTCTTTGCACAACAAAATTCAAAAGCAGCTTTAAGTAAAACTGCACAGTTAAGAGTTAGATTTAGCTATTCATCCACTGGTAAAAATTTGGCACAGAAATTAATCCTTTCATTGAAACTTTAATAATCAGTCTTAAGAGAACACACCCCAAAAATCAATTGAAAAAACAAATAAGGCCATGTTAAATCAACCCAAATTTATTACCTAGCCTGAATCAAGTCAGGCCACACTCATTTACCCTCATTTTCTACACCTGCCACCATTTGGAAGTCTGCCTCCCAGCAACAGAAAGGAAACAGTGGGGGTTTTATATTTCCTACAGTATTTATGGGAGATCTGTAGTATTTGAACAAAGTTTGATTGTTTCCAAATGTTCTGCATCCCAGAATAGCATTTATTAAGAAAACTTTAGTTTCTCTAAAACAGATTTACTCTTGTTATGAAAATATTTAATTTCAATTAAACAGTTAATAAATACACTTCAAAGACAACTTTATTTTTAACAAAGAAAATAAAGAAAACAAACAGCTATATACAATTTGGGTTGAGGCAGGCAAGCTTGCACTAGCTCTTCATCACTGTACACGTGACAGAAAATGAGTTTGGTTATCTTAGTATAACTCCCAAATACATACCCTAGTCATTTTATAAATCTGATAGAATTTGCCAGTGTACTTTCATAAAAATTAGAGGTGCACCAATATAATCGGTCCATATTGGATCAGCACCGATAAAAGGAACAATGACATTAGCGGCAATTGGCTTTTTTTTTTTTTTGATCAGTATAACTGATAGTGTCACCGATAAATGTCGCATGCATGCACGCAGACACAGCACGCACAACAGCCAGGAGTGCAGCCTGGCAGCTTGTAGAACAACATTGAGCTGGTAAGTGTATGGGGGGAAAGGGGAATGAAAGGGTGTTGTGGGGGCAAATTGAGGCCCCCATGGTGATGGAGGGAGTGGGGGCTGAGGCAGGCTCTGCCCAGCAGACAGGGCAAAGTGCGGGATGGTGGCTCATCCAGGGAGTGCATGGGGGGAGGGGTAGCTCCCACCACTGCATACACCCCAGGGGAGACACAGGGGGCATGTGGTCCCCGGATCTGTGCAAAGGGCTCGGGTGGGCTGCCTGGTGTTTGCTTGGGGCTGTAGGCTGTGTCAGCCTCTTCCTAGTGGGGGGGGGCTAGGCCAGGGCTGCGCTGGGGGCAGGAAAGGACAGACAACAACACTAGGAGGGGGTCTACAGGGTGGGCTACAGCCAGCCAAAAATTTGCCATAGCCCCCCCTCCCAGTGCCGATGCCACCCACCCCGCCCCTGCCCACCCCGAGCGCACCCCAGCCCAGCCCTGCTGCCAGGAAGAGGCCAGCACAGCCCCCAGCCTGCAGCAGGCAGCCCGCCCTTGCCCTGCACACAAAATGGGAAGGGAAGGGAAGGTATGCCCCCCATGTTTCCCCCAGGGTGTGCGCAGCAGCGAAGTCATCCCCCAAAGCACCTCACCACATCCCCCAGACAAGCCACTTGCGGTTCTGTCCCATAGCCCACCCCACCCCACCCCAGCTGGGCAGCACCTGCCCCTGCCCTACCCCACTCCCTCCCTCACCATGGGGGCCTCAATCTGCCCCACCCCCGAGATTTACCAATCTGACACTGCTCTCCAAGCTGCTGGGCTGCATATTGGCTACCGGACCAATATCAGCCAATATGGCTGGTTAATAATCGGCCATCAGTATTGGCAAAAAAAAACTTTAATCAGTACACCCCTAATAAGAATTCTAATTCTGATAATCTGCAAAATTACTGCAGAGCAAGATTAGGAGTTTCAAGAATAGAAATGAATGGGGCATGTTCCCACTATCTGGCCTTCTGGCTACAAAAACTGTTCTCCTTTCACAGAAGTACTCTATGTTACCACCAGATGAACTGCCTGGTAATTTTTGCAACTAAGAAAAAGAGGGAGCTCCTCCCTTCCCTAGAATTTGGTCTTTTTGTGGTACCTTCAACAAGTTCAATTTATGGCTTTCAGCTCAATAAGAGAGCAGAGCCTGCCTACCCCAGATTTATAGATTGCAGTATATTCTCCACCTCAAATGCCACACTGGAACACAAAGTCCCCATAGAGTGGCTTCTGTCATTTTGTCAGGAAGTGGCGGCATGCTGCTGTGGTTACAAAAGCCCCAGGGCTTCTGCAAAAATTCATGGAGGCAATGGCTCCAAGAATAACACTGAGAAATATAAATGGGCACCATAACTGAGTGACAATAGTATACAGTACAAATTAGTAAGTCAAAGCCTCAGTGATAATTAAAACATCTAAGATCAACAAACAGGCATTTAAATCTACATATCCTGCAGCACCCATGTAAATGTTAGCAAACAGATGAGAGGCAAAGAACACCCATGAGTCCACTGACTCCATCGAAACCCTAAAGAGTATTATTTTTGTAGGAGCCATAAAGTTAACAATTCCCCTAATTACTATGGGACACTCTTCCAAAAAGCTTCCCATTTCCACAGAGCAAGATCCTCAAACAGAATCATATTCTTTTCTAAAATCTGCTCTCAAATGTACTTCAGAAGCAACTCCCCCACAGTCCATGGAGTTACTAATTATTTACACATATTCAAATGAGATCAGAATTTGGCCTTGTTTCCCTGGACATTTCAACCACATTTCTCCCATAGTTTTCAACATGTAGAGAATTCAATAGAGCCTGCCACCCTGATCCCCCATACCTCAAAACATTTCTTTTTCCATATGCTGAGATGGAAAAACTATTGAATTCCTTGCATGGTTTTGACAGAAAGAGGCAAGCAACAGTGGCAGCACGAGGATTCTTCATGCACAGAAGGGAGCAGGCACAGCATATCAAGCCTAGGGCTTGTGAATTTTTACTAATGTAATATTTTCATAAGCATTTACGTTCTCTCTTGGTTTTATCTGCTACTTTATTTTCAGAAGTACACAATATTTTCCTTCTTGCCAGAAGTTCTACTGAAAACCTAAGCACTGAACTGCTCAAGCATTTGTATTTTAATTATTAACTTTTAAATCCCCCTTACTTGTAGTTATCATCTGCTTCAGATTCAGAAGATATTTCACTGCTGCCATTACTTTCTTCTGTCACATCAGGAGCATGTAGTTCCTCTAGGATTTTATTCACATCAATGCCAAATACTTTATGATAAAGTAATTCATAAAGAACAGCTAAGAAAAAAAAAAACTAGTGACAATTTTGTTGCATAAAATTTCATTTGCAATCGTCTTTATAACAGTTATTTTCATGAAAACACATTGAAATGTCTCCTGAAAGAGAAAAGGAATTACAGTTTAAGTTAACCTGTACAGGCAAGATATTTAACACTGCAAAACAAATGCAGCTCCCACAGACTTCAATTACAGGCACTTGGATCTACTAGAATTCAAACCCTTGATTGACACTTGTATCCTCAAATACTAAATACTACAATTTAAACACAACCACACTTTAAGCAAAAGAAAAGAACTACATAAAAATGTCTTAATAGCATGAAATAGATGGAAATTTTTGTTAGGATGCTAGTGAAAGCGTTTCAGTATGAAACCTACCAAACAAATCAGTACTTACACTGGCAGAGAGCAGCCTTTTCTGCATATTCTATTGGGTAAACAACGTCATAGTGATTTCCATTTGAAAAACACAGCAATACCTAGAAAGAAGAGGGCATTTAAAAAACTGTCATTTTCTCCGTTTTAAAATTATGAAAGCATATATTTAATGCAACTGTGTGCCAATATAATGTATTGCAATTTTCAATACCTCATAATTATGACATTGGGAAATATACCGTTTTCTGTAAAAGTTCACTTGACCTAATCGAATAAAAATTACTAACAGAGATATAACTGTGGAAGTGAATTTGACTTGAGTTTACAGAAATGTACCATAGAGGGAGATTTAACGTACCCTTTGTATTACACCCTGATTAAATAAACAAAAATATATATTAATGCCTAGTAGAACAGGTACCAAGTGTAAACAAATATTGATATTGGTTCATTCTAACATTCAGAATTAATGCTCTATGAATAGTCCAAACCCAGACCCTGTTAATTCTATTGCTGTTATTTGCATTTTCATTACAAGGTATAGGCAGTTGAAACATCCCTAAATTTTAATAAGCCCAAAGCTATTGAAAATATATATTACTGGATGTACTCAGTGTACTGAGTAATAAGACTTTAACTGACACGCTTTCTTATATTTTTTTGAAAAAAAATGTTTTTACCTTGTCAGGAAAGCCATTTTCAGTTACACATGAAGGGGCAGCATTTGGTTCCTGATAGATTATGATATCCTTTCTATTAAAAAAAAACATTTTTTTTTTAAATCAAGAATTAAAGTTATAAAAGTCCCAATAAGAACAAAAAATATTAAAAATGTGAATTCAAGGGGCATACAAGAATATTGAATTACATTTTTTTTGGAAGTAGACGCTTTGAAAATCTTGACATGCCTCATGGAAGTAACAGCTCTGGTGTCTCACATGCCCATTTTCCTTAACAGGCCAAGCTTTTCTAGTTGGACTACCATTCCAAAAATGTGCCATGTTCTCCCTTCTTGAAAAGGGGAGTCTCTGCAACATAGAAGTCTTGGCTATGATACATGAGATAGAAGAAATTAGCCCTGCTGGAAAGCTCCGGCCGTACAGGAAAAAGGGTATGCGAGCAAACTGAACATCTTCCATCAGGCACCACAGCAGCATTCCCAAGAATAAAATATTTAGTGTGCAGAAAAAAAATTTTCAGCTTGGACATAAAATAAATCAAAGCACTGTTATTGAAAACATACACTAATCACAAAAAGGACTGTTCAAATAAACATACATCTACCAAAATATATTCAAAAGAAACTTGTGACCAGTCCTAACGGTAAGCAAAGTCTTGCAAATTAGGACAATTTTATGTTTTTGAATATTGCTGACATATAATTCCATAACAGGCAGCGACACAACCTCTGAACAGAAAACAAAAATTAAGCTTGCAAGCATTATGTTTTAAAACTTGGTGTAATAAGCCCCAAATATAAACATTTTCTACACTAGGGGCCACCAAGATAGGCCACAGATCTGTATCATCCATTCTGCAGTGTACTACAGAGTGCAGTATTTAGCAGCACAGTGAGTGGAAACAACAATAACTGCTGGGTCACCTGGAGCTACTAAAGTTAAACACTGCCACCGTTCATCCTGCCACATTTCTAGACCCGTTGGGAGCTGCATTGGCTGGGTCTGGAGCATAGGGTTGTGTCATCTGGCCCTAAGCGCTGAAAGTTTGGTAGTGGCAGGAGCAGTGGCTGCCAGAAGTCTAGGAGCCACAGGGCAAGAAGATAGCTCCTTGCTCCAGATCCACCCCATGGAGCCTGGTGAGCTGGGCACCATTGTTCTGCACTACTATTTTTACCTTCCACTTCTCACTTTCATCCCCATTTCCACATCCTTCATTTCTTATTACCTGTTTCCCACCTCCTACCCTTTCTCCTTTTTAGAAAAAACTGCCATGAGCAGGAAGCTCACATTTACTACTATAACCAGAGGAAACACAGAGCTGGAAGTGACTTCAGGAGGTCATCCAGTCCAACCCCATGCTCAAAGCAGGACCATCCATGTTTGTCTAATCAGCCCTTAAAAGTTTCCAAGGATGGAGACTAAACACACAAAACTCTCAAGTAGCCTCGTCCAATGATTAACCAACCTCACAGTCAGAAAGTTCTTCCTAATACCCAACCAAAATTTTCCTTGCTGCCATTTAAGACCACTGCGCTAAATCCTGTCCCTTGCAGCCACAGAGAATAATCTTCATCCTCTTTATAATAATCTTCAGGTATTTGAACACTATTATCAAATCCCCCTCAAATTTATCTTGTCTGAACTAAATAACCCTAGTGCTTTCAACCTTTCCTTGTAACAAAGGCATCTAATCATTTTGGCTGCTCTCTGCTTTCAAATCTATTTTTCTTTCTAATCTGTCCACATTTTTACTAAAATATGAGGCCAAAACTGGACACAGTACTTCACATGAGGCTTCACCAGTGCTGAACAGAGTGGAAGGATCATTTCTTTTGACTTGCAAGTGACACTCCTGTTAATACAACCAAGGATGCTGTTAGCTTTTTCCACAGCATGAGCACACTGCTGCTGCATATTCAGTTTATGATCCACTGTTACCCCTCAGGGTCCTGTTCTGCAGCGCTGTAGCCTAGCCAGTCATTCTTCAGCCTTGATTTATGCACACAATTGTTCTGTCAAATTGGACTTGGATTTGCTAAGTAGGCACATAAACCCATCCTACAAACTGTAAATGAGGATATTAAACCAGTGGTGCTCAAGCTTTTGGCCCTGCAGGACAGATTAATGGCTTGAGGCCAGACCACAAACTGGATCAAGCCCTGTGCACCCAGATCAGGCCTCAATTTCCCACTTCCCGGGATTGTTTGCCCAAAAAGGGCCCCAAGCACCCTCAGGCCAGGATTAGGCCCCACACCAGCTCCAAGCACCAGGATTGGGACCTGGCACTGAACACTGGTTGCCATCCTGTCCTCTAGGCTGGGATCAGGCTCCACGCGAATCCGTCCCAACCCTATGTCAGGATCAGACCCTGGGGAGTAACATCATCCCTGCCCGGCCCCACATGCCAGGATTGGATTCTGGGGCTCCACAAACTGGGATCAGGTCCTGGGGCCCAGTGCCACTCCCTCCTAGCCCTAAGTGCTGGAATTGGGCCCTGAGCACCCAGTCTAACACAGAGGGCCCAGGGCTCCCCACAAGGTCAGAAACTGGCAGCAGAGAGATCGTACCACTCCCCTGCTGCCAAATTTTCAGCCTCCATAGAGAAGCCTACAGGCCAGATAACATGGTGCTGGGGGCTGGATCTGGCCTGCAAGCCAGGGGGTTGAGCAAGCCAGGGGGTACTCTATTAAACAGTACCAGACTTCTAGGGAATCCCACTGAATGCCTCATCCAAACCGGGTATTATGCCATTATGCCACTGATTACTATTCATTAAGCACTATCCCAAGTGTTTCCCTTAATGGAACAGCAATTTTTACAAAAATTACCCTCCTACCTAAAGAAAGAGCTACTGTACATATGCACAACCAAGACAGGAATAATTTCAAATGACAAATTATTCTTCCTCTTGACAAGATGGAACAATAAGCAGGAAGCTGAAGAAAGAACACTGGAAGCCTGTATTGAAATCCTCATCCACTGAAGCATCTCCGAACATTAACTGGCATGCATCTCATATTTAATACTCAGATGGAAGGGATTGTTATGCAATCTTCATCTTGTTTTTAACAATACCACAACAAATACAAATAATGTCAAAAGACATCAATGTATCATGTTGTTGTCACCTTTCAGAGGGATAGTTATCCCATCCTAATACTCATGAGCACAGGATTCTTATTGCTGTGTTTTGGCATTAAAATCATAGGCAGTGCACAGAAATCTCTCTCTGTCCATCCCCTGCCAAGAAGCAAGATTTTCAAAGTGCCAAAGAACCAGAGAAAACAAACATAATTAAATGAGCACCAATGAAATCTGAGAGGGAGTCCAGAATCCAGTATATATTCCTAGTGAGGCAATACTGGCCTAGCACCCTAAAATGAATTAGTGTTTCACATGCTGTGCTAGTGGAAAGTCAATCCAGGGTCTCTGCTTCTAAAAACATTCACTGTTATTTGTCATAATTACTAGAGAAAGATCACTACGACAAAAGTCTTGAAGTAGGAATCAGGGAACTCTGGCACTGCTCCTAGACTTGACACTTATTTCCAGAATGACTTTGGGCAAATCAGTTAGTGCCTAATACTGCCTGAATACATGTAGGTTCTGTTATAATTGCAAGTATCAACATCTCAAACCTGCCATCTGTAAAACGATAATGATTCTTCCACACTTAAATGCATTTTAAAATAATAACAGAGAGAGGTCTCAATTTAGTTTCTTTTCTGGTCAAATGGCAAATACAAAAAAGTAACAGTATCAATTCCTGTTTGCTGTATGAATAGTAAACATGAATAATAATACAAGATCATAGAGAAGTAGGACTGGAAGAGACCTCGAGGGATCAGCTAGTCCAGCTCCCTGCCGGAGGCAGGATCATCCCTATACAAACCATCCCATAAGAGTCCACTGTCTAATTCAGGGGTGAGCATGCATACCAGAACATGACACGTGAAGCCATTTTACTCAGCACGCCACTGCCAGCCGAGGCTCTAGGCAGGTCCCTGCCACTAGTCATGGAGTTAAAACTGCTTGCAACAGGCAGCGGAAAGACTGCAAGTAGCTGCACTGGGGTCCATGGAGCCCTGGCCCGGCTTGCTGCTAGCGGCAGGTGCACACATACCTCAAGGCAGACAGTAGAGAAGGGGTCACAGCTGCACTGCCACAACAAGAATCAGCTCTCCCACCATCTACCCCAGCATGCCAACATCTTACAAATCAAGGTTGAGAGCTTTTTGGCGCTGCCCAAAAATGCTTCTGAGCCCCAGTCTAATTCCTTAGCAAAACTACACAGTCAATCCTGAAACAACACAGGACTTAACACCCAGCCTGCCACAGGTAAAGCAGGGGGACCATGGCAGACAATGTCCTACTTCTGTAAAGGTTGTCAATATACACTTAAGAGAGCCATGGTCCCCTGCTAAAAAGGAAGGCAAAAATGCCCACAGTCTGTACAAATATGACCATGGGGTAAAATTCCTTCCCGACCCCAAATATGGCAATCAGCCTGACCCTGAGCAGAGGGACAAGACCCTCTAGCCAGGAATATAAGTCCCAGCAGGAACACTGGCACATCCCAGTCAAAGTCCACAATCTTGGCTGTATGCAACACCTAACACCTCTGAGGAAGGCTCATGTGGCAGAAAGGGAAGGGGGCAAACCAGCAAAGCCCAGAAACCTGGGAAAAACCCAGAGCAAAACATAGCATGGCTATGCCTAGATCATCTCCAACAGTGCCTGTCCAACCTCTTCTTGAACACCTCCAGTGATGGAGAGTCCACCACTTCCCCAGGCAATCTGTTCTACTACCTCACTGTTCTAACAGTGAAGAAGTATTTCCAGATATCCAATCTAAACTTACTTTGATACAACTTCAAGTCATTGACTTGTGTCCTCCTCTCTGCAGCAAGAGAGAAAAGGTTCTTTCCCTCTTCTTTATGACCATCCTTCAACTTTTTGAAGACTACTATCATGTCCCCTCTTAAGCGCCTTTCCTGCAAGCTGACAATGCCTAGCTCCGTCAGCCTCTCCTTGTAGGACCTGCCCTCCATGCCCTTGATGGTCTTTGTCGCCCGCCTCTGGGCTCTCTAACTTCTGTGGCTGCTGGAGCTGCTATTCAGGACAGATACCCAATAGAATCAATGCCACTACCACTCCGCATGCCCTTTTCTCCTGGCACTGATTTCTGTCACCAGGAACAATTACAAAACCCAATTTTTGTGGCAGGTAAGGTACATGGGAAGGGAGCAAGGAGTGAACAGGGTTAATTCCCTGGGTTCCAGAGCCATGCTGAAGCAGATGCTCTGGCAGCTACAGGGATTAACACTGCCACCGCCGGTGCTCTAGCACCTGCAGGGAGGAGCCCCTTGAGCCAAATACAGCCTACAGAGAAGCCCTACAAGCCAGATGTCCCACCTCTGCAGGCCGTTTGACTTTCCTGCTTCAGTAAATTTCAAATTTGTATTAAAATTAAAAGCTCTGCTTTATGGAGTTAAGAAGTGAACACAGTGTCAAATATGAAATAACAAATCTGGAGAATTAACTGGTAAAGTTGACATGCAGCTTATTTGCCTTTTCTTTTCCACATAAGCATGCGTAAGAGAAATTATCCATCTTTATCACTCAGTTCCAAGCTGTTATCAATCTCTCATAATTTTAACTTTTTTTATTCCTTTTGAATTATCCTCTGTATGCAATTGTTAAATCTTTATTCAGTAATACATTTCTTCCTTTCTTAGGATACCATCAGTTCAAACAAACTCTGCAAAATTAAGGAAAACGTATTCATAGGCACATTTTTTTATAAAGAGAGTACTAGAGAAAAAAAAAGTTGAATTTTTTTTTTTTTTAAGAGAGTCCTGGATTCAAATATACCCTGCCTTCAAATCAGTCTCTTTGTTACATCACTATACTTCCCTTCTAGTTACAAAGGCAGAGAAGCAGCTCCATCTAGGATCATGTGGCTAAACTCAATCCTGATGCAATAAAATTCAACTAGTGACTTAAATGAAGTTGCACCTTCCTACCCCAGCAAATTAGCCAACAAAAACAATGAAACAAGACTGAGACTCAAGGATGCTGTCCCTCAAAGCTTACCACATTCTCACCAACAGTGCAATTACCCTTACACATGTTCATACATTTTCATGTTTAAAGTTCGAGACTTTAAACCCAAATTTCCCCTTCCACATTCCTATTGATCAGCTCAACAGTGAAAATAGGGCTGAACAAAACCTGCTAGTCAACTGGTTTATACAGTCTAGTATTCACCAGGCATTCAACAGTGACCTCTTAGTTTCTACCCACAACCCCTGTGATTCTGACATTGTCTCCCATGCAAGTTCTAACCAAGTGCAGAACTGCTTAGCTTCTAAAATCAGAAGGGATAAGGTGCATTCAGTCCAGCACAGTCATGTAAAACTGAGTCTCACTGACTGCATAAAGTTTAACAAACCACACAAAGAAATGTGCAACCTCGTGCATCTAACACTCGCTCAAGTGCTTTGACAGTAATATTTTAGTTATGTAGCTTAGTTTTTCAAGGTCAAATCCAGAACTAAAGCAAAATCTCATCAAGTTGCAAAATCAGAATCTCATTAACTTGCACTAAATAGTGTAAAATATTGGAAGTTACAAACTGACCTACAAACAATAAGAAATGCATGACCACTTACTTTGTTCATTCATTTGCACAACAGTAAAATACTCAGTTTTTGCATACAACACACTCCTGAATAGAACACGCAAATTGTTTTTGAAAGGCAAAATGAAGAAAAACATTTTCCGAAGTTATGGCTGCTGAGAGCAGAGTCTGAGCCTAATCTTCAAGCGACTCAACCTTCCTTTCCTGTTTAACTAAAAGCCTAGCTTCTACTGAAAACTGGCCTTCATGGGTGGATCTATGATTCTGAAAAGAGCTTAAGACCTATGAAACAGGACCAGGATAGACTAGGAGGAAGCAAAATTGCTGTAAGAAAGGTTAGTTTGATTAGTGGAACATCAATATCATTAAAAAGAAGAGACAATTGTTAACACCTCTGCAGTAAAGAACAAATGAGCCATAAAAATCAATCAATTCCCTTAGGTGCCTGAACAGAAAAATCAGAATGGAATAGGAATCAAATCAGGGTGTTTCTATCCCCAGCCAGGAAGTCACCCCTTCCCTGCTTAATACACACACCACAATTTTTGGGGTCTGATTTCTGGGGAATTGTTGTTTGTTGTATGTGAGAAAATAGGATAACAGTAAAATGCTACTACTGTAACGTAGCGTATACCCAACAGAATATAGTGTTCTGGAGGGACAGAGCAGACTTCATGATCATCGGGAGAGTTTGATGACATACCTATGATGGCAAACCCTTTTGAAGGTAGATAAGAGACAGTTTATATAGTTGAAACTAGTTCCCTGCATGGAATAAACTATAGCCACAAAATGAGGGCTTTTACCACATGACTTTGCCATCAAAGTAACTATAGACCAAGTCTTAAGACTCATCCATACAAAAAGTCACGCTGTTTTAATTACATTAGTATGGTTAAAGTGGCACAACCCTTCTAGTGTGAACAGATGCATACTGTATGTGTGATTTAGGTTGGTACAATCTATTCCCATGCGGGAAGAAGAATAAACTATACTAGTATGAAGCACCTTCATACAAGTACAACTGATCCATGCTTGAGAATGTGGTAAGCATGTTTGTTATTACCCTGAAATAAAATAGTTTTCTGATAGCATACTGTTAGGTTAACAATAATTTAGATTATTAAGAAGTATTAGCTTTGTAGCTGAATACAAGGCATGACCTGTGGCCTAGCAATGCCGCTGACCACAAGGCAGAATGATAGCTAAGCCTTTGCTTATGTTAAGTAATCATTTTAACTGTGTTAACCATTTTCTGAGTAAAATGCAGCAAGTGAATCTGTGTCTATGTGCTGTAAACCAGATACAGCAAGGAACAAGATAAGACAAATAAGCCATTGTTCTAAGTACAGTGATCGTGTCCTTAAGAAGTATCTACTCCTGTGCAAGTTTTTGCTAACCTATCATAATGTTAGTTACTTAACTTTTAGCTTTTAGAAAGTGCTAGTTCAGCTTAACAGAAATATGCTGTTATGAAGATTTGTGAAGCACCGCCCAAGTATTGCTTTTTGTTAACCCTGTAGTCTTGCCTTATTGTAAAAAGTATAAAAGAACGCCCCACCCTTTAGGGGGGGCCATTTTGCCTTTTTGCTGGCTTAATGGTCATTGCTTGAGCAAATAAACTGCAGTTAATTCTTTACCCATGTTGCCTGGTTTCTATGCAGCTAGACAATGAACTCCAGGGAGTTTTCTCCCACCACAAGAAGGACAAGCCAGACTTAATATTTCAGATTGAAAGGAAGAAAAAAAAAAAAAAGAGGGAAGTATAAAAACTGCATATAGATCAAGTGTTCGTAGCATGAGTCTTTGTGATGGAGATTTACTAGCATAGCTCTGCCAAACAAAGAACAAAAAGGCACTTTTATGCCAATCATGAAATTAAAATTAGCAAATTACAAACTAGATGGTTCTACTTGAACACACTACTAATTTCATTTGTGAAGGTAAGTTTAAGACATTATTCAAAGCCTACATTTTATTATGTTTACAAGCATATCTGCTCTGCTTTTTAACACGGTCTCTTCAAATGTAAATTTCAGTACGAAGATGCCAGTATTTAGAGAATTATAATACATTTCAGGTAATGTCTAATTGTTAACTATATCTTTAACATTGTAAACAGCTAAACAAAACAGCTAAATTAATTTAAGCAGGTTATGGTAAAAAGAAAAAACAAAAAAAAACCTAAGACTTATTAAGTAGTATTAAGAGTTTTCTTACTTGTACATAAGAGATAGGGCACTTATTTCCACTTGTCCAACCCACTCCTGTAGTGAAAAATAAAAATAAATCAAAACTCATTCAAAATTTTTTTTTCACATTTGGGTAAATAGAAAAAAAAAAATCACTATTATGGAGATAGCACATAACACACAACCTAGATTTCAGTCAAAAGATTTATTACTTGTGCATTCAAACCCCTTCTGAACACAGAATAGTGTATTTTAGAATAGAATTGAGGATGAAAACAGCTCTCCGCTACTGCTCTGTATATTACTGTAATTAAAAAATATAAATGAGACATCATTCAAAAGCAGTACTACTACGAAGAATGAAATCTGGTGCTGACATGCATTCGAGAGAAAACTTTAAAAGCAAAATATCAATTTGGTTAACCAGCAGGTAAAATTTTCAAGAAGTGATTTAAGCGCCCAAGTTTGTTTTTAAAAAATGTTATCATTTTTAAAGCTGACTTTATCTGCTGGTGTTAAAAGACTGTCATGGCCAGGGTATTTCCCTTTTGGCCTGTTTCCTAGACAAGAGTTCTTGCTACCTAAAATAAACCATTTTATCCCAGGGCAAACTGCAACAATTCAGATATCCATGTCCACTGTCCCAGGATAAATGCTATAAGTAGTACAGGCAGTCCTCGGACTTACAACACAATTGGTTCCTGAAAACTGCGTCTTAAGTCAAAATGTAACTTGGAACCAATTTCCCCATGGGAAACAATGTTATAAATGGGGGTTTGGTTCCTGAACCAAAGCCCAACACTCTATTTTCACCAAAAATAACCCAGAATTTTGTATAGTACTCAGTTATAAAAATAAATAAATGTAGCTATATTACTTGTCTGTATGTAGTTATATTGTAAATAGCAATCATATGCATTTGGAAGGACTTCTTTGAGGTAACTTTGCTGAACTTTTTGAAGGGCTCTTGGCTGGAGACTTCTTAGGAGTCTTGGCTGCAGGTTTCCCTGAAGTCTTGTTTGATTTCTTAAAGAAAGTGTCCAAGGAAGTTTGGACAGATGTTCTCTTCTTTTGTTTGTCTATTTCTCTGTAGCAGCTGTACATTCACTGATGCACTGCATTCAATGTTTGGATCACGTTCCTCAAAATAGGTACATGACAACTTCCAAATGTTGAAATGCCTCAGCCAACACTTTTGTTGTCAAGACTTTATGAGCAGGAGTCTCTTCAACAATAGGTGCATCTTCTTCCTCTGCCACTTTTTGCTGTTCCAATTCAATGAGGTCCTCATTGGTTAATTCTGCAGAATGTGATGCCAGCAACCCATCAACATCTTGTGGTGCAACGTCTAAGTTGAATTCTTTGCCCATTTCAATAACATTTTTGGTCACCTTTTCAACGGTGTCTGTAAAGCCTTGGAAGTCAGATACAAACTTAGGACACACTTTTCTCCAAACACCATTCAGATTTGATTGTTTGACTTCATTCTGTGCCTCACCAATGTTATTAACTGCATGGTAAATGTTGATGTCCTTCCAGAATTCCTTCAGAGTTGGTCCACCTTCCTTCTCAATTGCCCTGATGGCCTGGGCAAATGTGTGCCTAAGATAGCAGGCCCTGAAGGATTCAATTACCCCCTCGTCCAGGGGTTGCAACAATGAGGTGGTACTGGGGGGCAGAAATGCAACTTTGATGTCAGGATGCATGTCATCAAGGATGGTTGAATAACCAGGAGCACTGTCAAGGATTAACAACACTTTAAATGCAAGCTTGTTTTTGCTGCAATAATCCCTGACACTTGGCACAAAATGATGATTAAACCAATCCTCACAAATGCTCTTATTGACCCATCCCTTAGGACTGAATTTCCATATCACTGGGAGAAATGCCTTGGAATGCCCCTTGAAAGCTCTGGGGTTTTCCAAATGGTACAAAAGTAAAGGTTTAAGTTTAAAGTCACCTGCAACATTGGCACTGAGCAAGAGTGAGCCTATTTTTAGAAGCTCGGTACCCTGGCATGGATTTCTCCTCTTTGGCAATGTAGGTTCTCAAAGGCATTTTTTTCCAAAAGAACCCAATTTCATCAACATTAAAAACTTGAGCCACCCTCTTGAATTATTTCAGCCAATATCTCAGGAAAAGCATGAACTGCCTCTTCACCAGCACTGGCAGCTTCACCTGAGACCCTGATGTTGTTATACAAATTGGCCCTGGCTTTAAAAGGCATAAACCACACCTTACTTGCACTAAAAGGCTCAGCATTAGATCTCCCCCCCTTTGTTGCTTTAGATCATCATAAAGACTCCTAGTCTCACCTTTTCCAGACCTCTTATTTCCATTTTTGTTTCCATAGTAATTGTTCTACATTTCTTAAAAAGAAACATCACTTCCACCAGATTTATGCTTTTCTGCCATTATTATGGGCAGTTTGGAAAACGTTTGGAAACAGAACAGCACATGGGCAGCGCAGTGAACTTGTTATAAAGTACTGTACTGTACAGTACAGTACCAGGACTTATTCTTTATTCAGTACAAGTACAGTACCATAAAGCTGTAGTGGCAGCAGCAGCAGCGATGAGTGAGCACCAGAGGAGCTGCTTGGCAAATGGCTCCCAGACGAGTGGCACACTGCTGCTCTGGCCACGTGTCCGGAAAGGCAGGGGGGGGGCCGTGTGCCCCCAGATCTGTCCCGAGTGCAGGCCGCCCCACCCCGACCTGATCCAGGGTCACACGCCCGCTCTCCCCCATGCCCTCCCGGACAAGCAGCAAGAGCTGCTGGACAAGCCACAGCTTCTCCCGCGGCCACCCAGCAGAAACCAGGCGCTGCCTGCCTCGCCCCAGTGGGAGCAGTCGCTTGAGCCACAGTTTCTCCCATGGCCACCCGGCAGCCCCAGTACTGCCTGCTTCACCCTCCCCTTCCACTGGCAGACCTGCCTCCAGTGTCCAGCGTCATAAAGTTGAAACTCGAGTCAGATCTTCAAAACCGGGGTGTCAATTTACAAGTGTTATAACTGCAGTTCGTCATAACTCGAACCGTCCTAAGTCGAGGCTTGCCTGTATTAATAGTTTATCCCAGCATATTGCAAAGTGTGTCTGAACAGTTATCCCAAGACTGCATCACCGAATCAATGGCAGCAAAGCAGCAGTGCATTTAGCTACTCAAAAAAACCCTAATAAGAGTTGCACACATCAATCCCAGGATATTCCTGTTCCAGGACAAACACAGGCACAACCTGTCCAGAGACAAGTGCGACATCTGTTCCTAGCCTAACATTACTTTCTCCCTCAACATCCCCACAAGAAACTCATCTTGAATTCAAAACATATACGTTAATAGCTTCTTCTTTTTTTTTTTTAATCTACTCTGGATTATTCCCCTGAAAGAGCTGGAACAGGTTGTCCTAGCAAGAGTTTCCCTTTAAAGAAAAAATGTTAGATGAAACTTGTATTCAAACCTATACTTAAAATTACCTGTTATTGAATTTAGTTATCAGAATAAACATCCTGGAAGTAAAGTCTTCTATTTAATCACATACCAAGTACCACAAAAATTCTTGGTACTGCCTGAAGAAGTGCCTCAACACTTAACTATAGAGACCATTTCTGTAGCAGAAAATGTAGTTTTGAATTCCGTGGTTCACATGCCAAGACTGCCAATAAGAAAAAACAACTGTGTTTGTTTTGTTGGTGTTATTATTGAAGAGCACAAATGCCCAACAATGTCAGTGAGACTACACCTTTAGCTGTCAAACACTGAAGAACAGAGGTCAACAGCAACAAGTGTCATAATCAGAATACTAACAGAAGTGAAAGCTGCTGCATTCACTGCTATTCAAATATACTGTCCAACAGCCCTCTGACATGATGCAACTAAACTATTTGGGTTAACTTTTTAGCTTTAAGGTTTTGGTTTAGGTTCACCCTTCTCCTCCTGTAAAAACTAAAATTAATTTAGATTTGAATCCAAGATGGTGTTTTAACAGTTTCAGATGATAGACAAAAGAGGAGTTAATATTAAAATATGCATACTGCAATGCTGTCAGATGCCTTGTTTGGCCATTTTGTTTTGGGTTTTTTTAATAAAGGACATTCCAATTTTGACACGTTAGAAACAGAAATCCCAGTTCTGTCCATCCAAGATGGCTTCATGGATTGTTGCTCTTTTAGGTTTCCAGCAATCACATCTGCTACAAAAGTGAAAGGTAATTAATTTAAACAGGAACTGACTGATTGTTTTTTTAAACACCTATTCACTTTGGTATTTGCTTTAAATGGAGTTTTCGAGGAATAAGTATTCCTGGGTGACTATTCTTCAACAAGGCAGCTTGATCTAAAGTAAGCCTGTTTGCACTTGTTGTTATTTAGAAAGAACTAGTCCTTAATAATTCACACTGGCAAGCTCCAACACACTAGGAAAAAAAACCAAACAAACATTCACAATAATTTATCACACTGTCCCTTCAGTTAAGGCCAGATGCCATAGGATTTTTTGCAATGGCATAGCTGTTGAAGCTTCACCATGTGTGCTCTCTCGCATGCATCACAACTGGAAAAAAAAAATTACCTGGATTCAGCCGAATTTGAAACTCAAACTAAAACTTCTCAATAGTGCAACTGTCTACAACCAGGGGTTGTCAACCAAGGGTATGCGTACCCCTGGGAGTACTGGAAGGCCCCAGGGGTTATGCAGCAGTAGCGTGGAGAAGTAGTGGCACTTCCAGTTTTGCCACCGGCATTTCTGGTTTTGCCATTGTGTGCGGGGTACCCCCCGCCTACACCCCTGCTCGATCAGCCGCCAAGGGACCCCCTCCCCCCAGCTCGGCTGCCCGGGGACCCCCCAACTCGTTGACCAGCCACCAGGAATACACCAACCAAAAAAGGTTGAAAACCCCTTGTCTACACTAAGGGTTTGCAGTGGCACAACTACAATTGGCATAGTTACATTTGTGCGAACAAGCCTAAGGCATGAGAACAAAAAGAAATTCTACAGCAAAACCAGAGAATATCAATCAACAGTCTTGATGCTTCTTAGATTAAAGACACACATTTAAAATACATACATGCACGCACACACTTTGTACACAACAAATAAATAATAAAACTTGCCTATGACAGGATGTTTTGCCAATACTGTAACTGCACCAGTACAAATCTCTACTGTAAGCATATTACATTCTTATAAGCAATGATTTATGTTACTGCAGTAACAATCTAATTTAATCAAAATAATTCACCTAGGGAGAAAAAACAGAAACAGAACAGGTTTCTCACCACTGCAGAGAACCTGGCATAGGAATCTGCAGGTTCTTTTAGTTTTACCTGCAATTTAAAAAACCCAGGATTGATAAGGATATAACATATGTCTGTACATCACAAAGCAAAGCCATGTTGAGACAAGCTGTGCCCACTGGCCCCAAAACCAGAAATAGTGCAGCTATGCTAGCATGGCCCTGTTCAGTGGGCCAATAAATGCCACACTAACTATAGCTGCACTACATCTGAGTTTTGTTCACTGAGCAAATGTGGTAGCTCAACACAGCACTGAGAACTGATATGTGGACATAGTCAGAAATAAGAGTTACACGCCCATTTTTTCCCTTTGCTATTTATTTTTAGCAACCAAAACAAAGGCTCATTTGGGTAGCCACGTCTCTGTCATTGGCTGACATGGTGGAGGCAACGGGTGTATGTAACATTCTCTTTTAAAAGATCCTTATTAAATCCAATGTGTTACTACTATGTAGTCCCTTTTTGTTTTCAACCTTATAAAAACATTTTGGGTCCAATTCATCAAAAATAAAACCTTCAGACTTATTTTTCTTAATCTTTTCTTCTCACTATTTAGAGTTTTATTTACTGTTTGAAACTCCTTTAAAGAATACTGACAAGTTTAATCTTTTGGCACTTTCACAAAAAAGCAACATGTGCCAATACTGCAAAAGAATGTTTAAATGAAAAAAAAGACAAAAAAGAAGAGAAAACCAAAATGAAGGTTGTCCTGTTAGAATAACATACTTACAATATTGCTGTTTTATACATTAAGTTAATACTCCCTGGAACAGCAGTATTTCCCATTCCATAGCTGTCACATACCAAATGATAAAACCATCTGGATAACAAAAGCCTAACCAAAAGCAATACGGCACCTGTACCAACTGTGATATCACTGCTGAATATGAAGGAGTAGTGACAGAGACAAATCGCAGAAAACAAAAGGAAACACAGCCAGAAACTGGCAGGTATAATCACATTCTAATAATCTTGAAACAACTTGGGAAGCCATGGCCCCCTAATTTCTCTTCCATCCAATACGGTCATGCACACCACAAGCACCATGCTAGTACACACCAGTATGCATAATACTGGCACAGTACACACAAGCATACATCTATCCATGTGTCATTTTACACGCTTTAAAAATTGTAATTTTTCATTATCAGATCATCTTTTTAAAAAATCAATTAGATATAGTGCATAAAAGCACAGAACTGTATACCATGTCTGTGTGTGTAGGCACATATAGTCTATATGAAAACATATAATGCACTGAGATTTCAAGCTTATTTAAAATATGCAGTTGGCTTTCACCAAGCTGTCTGGCATTTTTCCTTATAAAAAGTGAAAAAAGTAATACATACCTGTGGATTTTCCAAACATTTTAAATAGTCTTCAAATGACCCCTCTATGAACTGTAGGAAAAAAGAAAACACATTTTTTTTTCCTTTAGGGAAAAAGAAAACACATTTTTTTTTCCTTACTTGTAATAGTTTTACAGCTAGAAGTCTATGACCACAGCTTCTCACTGCTAAGGCCTGTACAAGTATTACAAGATGGGCCCTGCCTGAAGAGCATACAATCTAAGTGACAGCAGCAAGATGGACATATGGGAGAGTAAGGAAATAAATGAAACAATACTGGTCCGTAAGGTAAGCAATGGTCTCAGCTCACCAGCAGCCATTTTTTATTCTTGGAGGCACCACTGCAACAGGTCCTAAAAAAGAGCTGAGGGAAGTATAAAAAAAAGCAGCCTTACAAATGTTGTCAGGTAGCTTTTTCCAACTGTGTAGAGCACCACGAGGAAACACGAGTGGGCGTGGAAATAGGTTTTTCAGTAACAAAAGAAGGAGAGATAAGAGTGAGGCTAGGCCAGGAGCAGGCAAAAATACAACCCACGGGCTGCATCCAGCCTGCTGGGTGATTTATTCAAGCCCAAGGATGGGCATCCAACAATTAATTGTATCCAGCCCAGCCCATAGCTGCCCCTACTGGGCACTGCATAGGACCGAGCCCCACCCACTCCTGCCAGGGCAGCGCACTGCGCTCCCACCCTTGCCCACAGGAGGGCCCCACTCCTGGTATGCACGCACAGTTTCTGAGTAGATCTGCTACTGCTGCTGCTGCTGCAGCTGCCCAGGGAACTGCTAGGCTCCCCCAGCCTCCAGTGGTTCCTCCTCCTGTCCCTGCTGCAGTACTCTGGCCAGTAGGTAGGGAAGCAGCAGTGGCCAAGAGGAAAACTGCAGTTGGGTGGGAGCCTGAAGCCCAGGGCCAGGGCCAGCGTGAGCAAGGGGACAGCCTGGCTCCATTGCGTGGGGCTCCTCACACACAGTTCCCAGGACTTTGTCAGAGCCATGTGCCACTGGGGGGGAGCCCCAAACGGTAGAGCCAGGCCAGCTTCACTCCCTGCAGCTATGTGCAGCAAACAAGACTTGGCCAGGATTGGTGGGGAGCCCCACATAATGGAGCCAGGCCAGCTTGGCCCTGCTCCCTGCCAAATTCCAGGAGCTGCGCATGGCGGCAGCAAGTAGGGTCAAGCCACCGGTTTCACTGTGCAGAGATTCCCCCAGCGGAGTCCACCCAAGTCCTGGGAGCTGCACATGAGCCGTGGGGAGCCCCACACAATGGAGCCAGTGGCCTGGTCCCACTCCCTACCACTATGTGCAGCTCCTGGGACTCAGCCGAAGCCATGTGCTGCCAGAGGGCTCCACCTGCCATGGGTCATGTGCACCCCGAGGACCCACCACCTACAGCTGCTGCTGCCGCCACCAGTGGCAGGGGCTGTGGGGCATGGGGGGCCCCCGCCATAGCCATCATACCCACACACACACACACACACACACACCCAAGTCACACGCCACACACAATACACAAGAGTAAGACTTTGTTTTGAGCTATTATGCAATCACCTCTATATACACTACACAAACATACATAAATCGAGACAAAAATATTTTTCAAAATGGAATTAAAATATGCTATAGCAGACGTTTGATTTTTAGCACACGATTTGTTTGTTTCCCGATTCCAAGATGGCAACCTCCCTTCCTCCCAAAAGGAGTACTTCTGCGGGTAAGGGAAGGGACTTCCAGTCACAAAGGTCAAGGGCAGGACTTACAGACCCTAGATGGTAAACAGCGGGCCTGGAATCTGTCAAGGGGCGGAGTTACCCTTGCAGCGCTCAACAGCTCACCAAAACTCATTAAGCAACCCCTCCAGCCAAAATAACTTCCCACCCCTAGGCTACCCACCATGAAGGACCTTGAACAGAAAAACAAGTCACCTATATTTGAGCAGAGAGCACCACTGCTGGGATGCAAAGGTGTGGTATGGTCAAAATGACAGGCTAGAAAAGTAATTCTAACAGCAGATCTCTGAAAGAACATAAACAGGTCATGATTTCCCTTGTTAAAACCAGAGAAAAATATTGAACTAATTACAATTATGAGATGATGGAAGCCTAGACAAGAGTTTTAGTTGTGTGGCTGGATTGGGAATTTTACCACAGATGTCATACAGAAAGAACCAGTGAGATCTACATGTAGTCTGGGTATGAAAACCTAAAGAGTTTTCATTTGAAGAATCCCTAGTAATGCACAAAATGACAGGTAAGATGAAGATCAAGAGAGGAAGCATAAGAAAAACTACAAGGGTGAAAGGTAAATTAGGGAGCTAGGAAATCTTTTTTAGCCACAATGAAGTGATGGCTAGAAGTGAGAGATGTTGGAAAGACAGGCCAAGATTCAGTCTGGACAGAAGTCAGGCCTAAAATAAAAAGCTCTGTATAAATAGAGTAATGGAATTTATTTCCAGATGTGACAATGCAGAGCTAAAAGGGAAGAGAGTCAGTAAAGACTCTGGAAGAAAAGACAAAGACATCCCCACAGAAACTTGGAAAGGGGTATAAGAAAGGTTCTTGAATGACATACGCAAGTTACATAAACTCCTTTTGACAAGTGGCAGAGCTGAACCAGGGCTGCAGTTCAACTCAGCAGATAAGCCTGGGGAGACATGCAGTTAAATGATCAAATGGGTTACTAACATTAAATCAGTCATCATAACTGAAGTCACCAAAGTAACTGTAGACAGACTGTAAGAAGAATGAGAGAAACATGGCAAGAAGAAACAACAATCAGACCAACACTGATAGAGAGGAGTTAGGTCAAATGCTGATGATATAAACAAGGAGGCAGAGAGGAGAGAAGAGTATAATGCAGGGGCGGGCAATTATTTTGGGCGCAGGGCCGCTTACTGAATTTTGGCAAGCTGTCAAGGGCCACATTGGTAGCCTCGCCCCTTGACATGTGCCCCGCCCCTTGGTCACCATACTGGGACCAATAGTCCCACCCCATAACCTCTGACCTTTGCCACCAGAAGTCCCTCCCCTTGCCCCTGGCAGTACTCTTTTGGGGAAGAGAGTTTGCCATCTTAGGGGGAAAAAAAACAAAATTATACACTAAAAATCAAATGCCCACAATAATATATTTAAATTTTTAAGGCACCAACAGCAAACACTGCTGGCGACAACGGGGCGGGGAGGAGGGAACACAGACGCGCTTTCTTCTGCACCAAGTAGCAGTTTCTGCCCAGCTGCTGCTGCTGCTCAGCCCTGACGGGCAAGCCTGGAGCCGAAGCTGGGCCCAGGCTGAGCAGCAGTGGCAGGAACAAACTGCTGCTCAGCATGAGCAAAAAGTAGCCTGTCCTGCTGTTGGCAGTTCCCTGCTGCAGCTGCTCAGAGCCTGCGCAGAGCTGCCTGTGCCTGTTCTCCATAGCCACTGCTGCCCCACAGGGCGGTGGTGATGCAACACAGGTAGGACAGTCCTGCACGGGCTGCAAGCGGCTGCAGCAGAAAGCACTGGCCATGGGGAGGAAGTGGGGCACGCTTTTCTCCTGCATTGAACAGGAGTTTGTTCCCCACCACCGCTGCTCAGCCCAGATGAACAAGCATGGGGCGCAAGGGGTCAGGCCTGTGCGCTCGTCCCCACCTGTACCGTATCAGTGTCCCAGAGCCAGTGCCGGCAGGGCCCAGAGCAGGGCAGCAGGAGCACAGGGTCCCAGCCAGCTGAGGCTCTATGGAGCGAGGTCACCTCCCCTCTCTCCCTGCTGGGACAACTCAGCCCAGCTCCATAGACCCCTGCCAGCCCACATCCCATGCTCCTGCCGCCCCGCTCTGGGCCCCGCCAGCACTGGCTCCAGCACACTGACACAGGCCCCAGGCTCCTGCATGCCCACTCACTTCCACTCCCCCCGACCCCCACTGCCAGTTTCCCCACTTTCCTGCCCACCCACAGGCCAGCCACTCTTAACTACGTGGTTCCCAGCTGCATGGCCAGACCATGAGGCTCAGCAGGACTCTACTGGGCCCCAAGGACTAGGGTGATCCCCATGGTCCTCCCCTGCCTCCTCCTCCCCTCCCCTCCCCTCCCCCCCCACACCTTAACTGAATTTCCCGCTCCAGCACAGGGAGGCACAAATAGCCCTGCAGTCCCAGGCCAAAAGCCCCTGCTAGGCAGAGGCCCCTGCTAGGAGAGGTGGGCAGGGCCGGGTAGGCCCTGCTGTTGCAGGAGCCCACCGTGGCTTCCCCTGGGTCCTACTGCCCCTGGCTCCTCATCTTTGACAGGAGCCAAGAACAGATGAATTTTCTAAATTTAGGGGCCCCATGGGCCATATAGAATGGCCTGGTAAGTCAGATCCAGCCCATGGGCCATATTTTGAGCACCCCAGTCTAGTGCAATACCATTCAAAATTAAAAATGGTACAATGCTGAGATTGAAAAAATTGTGGGAAGAGACCCTCACCAAGCTCAGGTGCAAGGCAAGGAACTGTGGGTGGAAACAGATATCGCTTTTCCTCACTTTTGGGCTGCCATAAAAATGTATATGGCGGCACAAAGTGACAGCAAACAGATGTCCATACGTTATGTTGCACCACAAATCCTCAATTTGCAGCTGTAACAGAAGGTAATAATAGTATGCGCCATTTTATTATAGCAACTGTCTATTTGCCATATGGTGGGAGAGCATGGGCAGCTTGGAGCTGCTGGTATCCTCCAGTTGTACCAGGAAGGGGCTTGCAAAGTCCGATCCCACACAGGATCTTCCTTCCTATTGCCCTTTTTTTTCCATAGTCCACAATAGGACATAAAACAAACACATTACTTGTTCATTTAATTGAAGTTTTCTTATGTTAGAAAGGAAGTGGGGCAATTACCACATTTACTCGAATATAGGATGATACTGAATTTAAGGCAACTTCCTAATAATTAGATGCTATATCTGGAAAATTTATAAATGTGTTAGTTTTCCAGATATAGCATCTAATTATTGGAGGGTTGTTTTAAATTTGTGTCATTCAACAGCTACAGCAGGGAAAGCACTGACTAGGGGGTCAGGTAGCTGGGAGAGGTCAGGCAGCCCCCTTCCTCTCTGCAGGGGGGAAGAAGTATGGGCAGGAGGGAGCAGACTACCTGATCCCCTGACACCTGCATCCCTCCAGACCCCCAGTCTCTGCCCTTTCCCCTTCCACCCACTCCCCACAATCTCTGCCCCTTCTCCTCCAACCCAAAGAGCACAGCACAAGGAAATACATCCCTTGCTAGGCCATGCAGCAGCAGTGGTACTGCTGACTGGCCAGGCAGGAGACAGAGATTTCCTGTGCCCAGGAAGGAATCCAGCCCAAGCTGGAGCCAAGCTGTACCTGACAATAAGGAGGAGGAAAGGGGAAGAGGGCAAATGGAGGTGGGGGCAGGAGGCTGCTGTGGGTCTGACTCTGGCCCCAACTCAAGCTCAGGGCCAGAGTCAGAGCCACAGCAGCCTCCTGCCCCTCACCCTGCAAACGCTCCATTTTTTATGCGAATCTAAGACAAGGGGCTCCCCCCCATCATGCTGATGCAGGGGGGACTTCATTTTAGATTCAAGGAAGTACAGTTTTTTTAAAGAATCCAGAACAGTAACTGCAATACACCCTCAATAACCAGCTCTTAAATAATTAGTTTGAAAGTTAACTTGAACTTAATTATTTCAAACTAATTATTGGCTCTTATAGATAAGGATAATGTACCTGTGATGAGGCCTGAGGAGAGGTACATGGTACCCAAAAGCTTGCGTATGTTCCCGCCCACTATACAGTTGGTCCAATAAAGATATTTGTCCCAGGGACAACGGGACTAGAGGGAGACCCCGGCCCAGAGCCAGAGGAAATACTCACTTATGCTTCACAGGAGGTGGGAGCAGTGGCAGCGTGCAGACCGGGGAACCACCCGCGCAGCTTGTTAGCCGCGCTTTCATACGGCTGGGGCGGAGTGACGTCAGAGAGAGGCGCCGCTCAGCGGAAATAAAACGCAGCCCCAAAGGCAGCAGGGGCGCGCTGCGGGAGGACGTGAAGCCCGGGGGGAAGCCCGGGAGTGGAACCGGGCACCCGCAAGGGGCCTTGGCCGTGGGCCCAATAGG